CCTGCTGGGAACGCCAGCACGGCAAGCTCGGCTCTGTGCTTCTCCACGAGGCGCGCCATGAAGTCTTCTCTAAGAAAACTTACCTACTGTCATCCTTCCAGAGCGCACGATGCCTGTGGTTCGGATCCCTCCGGCTTTTCCAACGCGTGGCTCCTCCGCTCCCTGGCGACGTGCCCAGCAAAGAGGGGAAAAGCGGTGTATGCAATCCACTTGATGCTCCCCTCGCTTTCCCTTGCGGTTCAGAGGCACGAGGGGACGATCGACTCAAGCAAGTCATCCAAACGGTTTCGGCATGTCCGCTCCGGCGTTTGAAGCATGACGCACCAACCCAGGGCTGCCTGGGAGCAGGTGCCACAGCCTAAAACTTGTTAATCGATGTAGGCTTGCAGAAGCCATGAGCTAGATCAAAAGGCAAATGTTTAATAACGAACGTTATTATGTTATTATGTGCGAAGGACATGAACGCAGCTACGTGATAGAAAGAAAAACGGCTCCTCCCTGCCCCTTCCAGTGTCTCTTGACATTACCAATCTTCCCCTGAAAATGTATTTATGCAGCTCCTTTTCTAGCTCTCCCTGACTGATTAGGCGCACGGCTGCTCACCTGAATCGAAGCTTTTTCTTGCTGAGGTTTGCCAGCGTTTGCTACAAGGCTTACAGTGACGGGTGAGCTGGAGGGGGCACGGCAGGAGTAGCTCTGTGAAAGCAGGACGTTAAAGTCACAAGTTTGTGTTGTTAGTTCTGACATGCAGGTTTTTAAAGTGTTTTCACTGGTTCACTGATGACTTTTTCCTTCCTACCTCAGCCCCTGGCTATTTAGCGTAGGAAGCATTAGCGACGCAAGATGATCCTGTCCGAGTGGTTAATTCTTTCGCCTCAGTGATAGATTTCTGCACTTGTAAGGGAATTAGAATTATTTCAGTAATAAAAGAGATACTGGGGGTTTTCTGCATGATTAACGCCAATCATCTGAGGCTGACCTCTGCCTTTTACCCGTCTTGCCATAAGTTTCCTTATTTTTGCTGACATCATTATTCTGTCCAAGACAGATAACTCTTTCCTTTTTTACTGTTTGATTTGTGAGCATTGTCTGACACTCTCAAGAATTTCCTGGGGTTTTGCCACCTGGCTGTAGCTTATCTGTTATGTGCTGCGGGATGAGAGAGATGCCCTTCAGGTAGGGACGACGGGGCGTTTTGGATAAGGGGTTAAACAGCACCTAACCTCTGGCAGGTTGGGCAAGCGCAGTGCTAATACCGAACAGCAGCAGTGACCGGGGTCCTCATCAGACTTTTTCTCTGTCCAATATAACAGAAAATAAAAAATTGAAGTCTTTCTCTTACAGTGTTTTCTATCAGAACTAACTTCCTATACAGTTATAGAGATATGAAGGTACTTTATTTTCTGCATAGTAAAACGCATGCATTTAGGAACAAGTACGCTGAGGAAAAAATCTCACAATGTCATGAGAGCTGTAAAGTGCTTTCCTACAATGCATATACATGATGAGCTACGAGAAAGAGCTGCCATACATCAAATTAGATAGCAATGTGGAAAAGTTATTGTTCTGTGTGGTATCCACAGTGGTGTCTCAAATATTCTTTTCATTTCTATGTGTAAAACAGTTCCTTTGGGCCCTTTCAATTCCCACTGAAGGCTTTGAGAGATTTTTTCCATATTCTAGGCAAATATCCATTTAATCCCCTGTAGCACAGAACAGTGGCTTTTGGAGGTGTCAATACTTTCCTGTGGCTTTCAGTGGCTCTGACAAACGCCACTTTGGCAGCTTTGTTATTTGGGATGGCTCTCCAGATTAATGTGTGATTTTATTTTTTTTTAGTCTTATTTTAACTTTAAAAAAATGTGTACCTGATAGGCTGGAGGGAAGCATAGTTTTCTTCCTAAATCAGAGCGGTATGCATGGTACCACCACCATCCTCTGGGGTCCCTGTGTCATGGGACGAGACAAGCTGCAGTTCCTGAATGCAGAAGCATTGGAAAACATTTTGCTTGAGCTCCCACATCCTGATACATCACCTTTATCAGCTTGGAGGGGACTCACTCTGCCCATGAGATAAAGCTTTTAAATGGCTCTTTCTGGACGCGCGCCATCGCCTCCGCTGCCAGTGCTTCCCTTTCAGCCAGCAGTATCTTGCCCTTCTGCACAGCCCTGGCCACGCTGGTCGTGTCGCGACGCTTTCTGCCTTTCTCTGCTGGGTTGCACAGGAGCAGCCCCAGGTTGCCCCTAAAAGCCTCCCAGCCTCATTTTACAGTACTGAAGAAAGGGAAATAACATTTAATGGGAACTTTGAAAAAGCACTGCAGCATTTAGGCCTCTGAAATTCGATATACCACATCACCATTTTTCATTGCACGTTGAAGCATTCTGCCTTGAAGCTTTTGTCTCAAACTCTGTTCCTTTCTGTGCTTGTGACACTAAGCAAAGCATTAGTGTAATCTTTAACGTGGTGTCAGTGCCTATTCCCAGAGAAGAGAGAAAGTTAAACGGCCCAATAATGGCTCTGATGAGATTTAAGATCAATTTCTGAAATTTTGATAGAGCGAGGGTTGGCATTGTCCGAGGGTCACTGCGTATTTCATTAACACCTGATGGAGCAAACAATGAAAAACTCTACTGCTTGCTGTAAGCAAATAATAGATCAAAACTCATTCATGCTTTTATCTTTCTTTTCCTGATCTTATTTTTCGCTTGTTTTTGTAATAATCAGAGTAAGATGAACACCATCAAGACTGTGGCATGCAGCCAATCATTATTGCCTTGTACAAAATAAATTGTTCCAAGGAACTGGGTTTTATAGCAATTCCTTCTCAATTTTCCTATATTTGTATTTTCATTTTAGCTGTTCCCAGAGTGAAACAACGAGCAGATTAAAATGTCTGATGAATTCTCTGAAATGCCAACCAGCAAAAGTCTTTGACTGTCTCATTGCCAAGGACAACTGAATTTCTTTGTCTGAATCATTTCTGATAATGTGGTGAACAATTGCAAGAGCAGGAGGAAGCCTGGCTGTTGCTTTGGCCCTTCGTCTCAGAAGTCTGCACATCTACCAGTGTAATTTTCCTTTCTATGAGTTGCTACAATTGCTGTTGAATTCATCATATCTGAAAATAAAATTTACAGAGGGAAGCAATTCTCTGTCTAGCTTCCTTCCACTTCATCTTTCTGTCCATTTGCCAGAAAGATAATAAGCCCTGGCAGCATTAGCACAAACATAAACACTGGGCATTAGGAAATGCCTCCCTGCAATATTGCTGTCATCACCTTAACCTTAAACTTTAAATGCTCAGAAAGACTAGGACTGATGATTTATAATTATCTTTTTTGAAAACTTTCTTTTTTTGAAAGAAGCTTAAAAGAAAGGGTATTAAAATGTTCATATTTCCAGGAAAAAATATAAAGACAAAAGAGGTTAAAAGTGTTCTTCACTCTCATTTATTCAGTGGGAGCGGTAAAGTCTTATTTTCTGGTTTTTTTGGTTTTGAGAAGCACAGGCCCCAAAGCCTGTTCCATCTGAAGAAACACATTTTAAATAGCTGCTAATGTGCCGTTAAAGAAAGAAATGTGCTATTCCACAGCAATCCTAATTACTGCGCAAGCGTATTTCACTCTGCGCTAGCAATGAACCGATCATTTAAATCACAATAACAGTTTTGTTATTATGCAAACATCTAGAAAAGACTCCATTAAATTCCCAATTTGATCATCATTTCATAGATAGTGAAGATGAAAGCACAGTTGGAGTTTTCTCTACTTCTCAGTCCCAATAAAAGCACAGTTGCAGCTGAAAGGGCTGAAGGAGGGCAACGGGCAGCTGCCAGACGTGGTCCGTGTCCACCCTGCCAGGCAGAGGCAACAGCGGCCACCAAGCCCACCGGGAGCCTCGGCTTTCTCCCTCTCTACACCCTTTACCCTCCTCCTCACCTCCAGAAAGTTCTGCTTCGTGCAGTAGTGGAGGGTTTTACATTTCCCTTCTAAGAACATTTATTCACCACAAAACTCGTAAATGAAACTCTCAGTTCTGCTAATACAATCAGCTGCGTTAGCAACATACTTGTTTTTCATCTTTTCTTTCAGTTATTTTGCCTCTTAATTATCTTTCTTTGTGATTAAAGATAGTCACATTCTAAATTCAATCATCGTGAAGAACAATATGAAACAAAGAAGTTTCATCTTTTTGTATAAAACTCGACTGTGGGATCCAGTGGAGCCGTAATTTTACCATTAAGAAATTGCCCTTTTCAGTTGTCTGCTGCTCACCTTTTCTTTTCCTCTGAACAATAAACTGAAGACGCGTCTCAGCTACAGGATACAAAACGTGTACTTTCTGTACCAGAGCACCACAGCTTCTCCTTCTGCTTTTAAATTTGCCTTTTTGCCCAATCGGTAAAGAATGAGCTGTCATTTTTTGAAAGGTAATCTGACATAAAGCATTTAAAGTAGCAAAATACCAGCCAGACCTCTTGCAGTTTACAGGAGAAGGAGAACCATGCAGAATGGTTCACTTTGGGTCCATATGCGGTGAATAGAACAATAGAATGTTAGTGCTGTGTTGAGCTACTAGTTCAGCGGCCTATGTCGTTAGCAGGTTGTCAGAGGGTTTTTTTCAGCTTGACATCAAAGTGCCTTTCTGTGTCTTTTCTGAATCTCAATGTAGACTGTCTCAGATGTAAGTGCTGACCCCACAGAGGTACTTTGTCAGTGCTGGTCACTGATGGATGTTGGGTTTTGACCTAGACGGCCTGCTGTCTACCAAAACTTTTATCTAGAGAAGCCAAGAGGCAGAAATGAAGCACCTTCTGTCAGTACCTGGGGATTTTGTGTGCCTGGTTTGCAGTTTTGTGTTCGTGGCACCATAAGCTATGCTGGACAGCAAAGACGCACCCTGTCTTGTTCCACTGGCAAGTGCAGCAGGCTATTCACTGAAATCTCACCCTCTTCAGACAATGCTACTCATGATTCTCTTTCTACTTCTCCTACAGTTTGTTGCTCACCCCAACTGCCAGCAGCAATTGCTCACCATGTGGTACGAGAACCTCTCAGGCTTACGGCAGCAGTCTATAGCTGTGAAGTTCTTGGCTGTCTTTGGGGTCTCCATCGGCCTGCCCTTCCTCGCCATAGCCTACTGGATCGCTCCCTGCAGCAAGGTACAGACTCGTTAAGGTGCATGGGTTTTATGGTCATTTCTATCTGGGGCCTGGAATGAAGTCACATATTTTTCTGTAATGCTGTTGGGAAGTGATTCACGCTGTCCTCTAAGACTGCCCCAGAGGACAGCAAACCTGGGGAGCTGCTTGATATGCAGGCGCTGTTAGGCAGGGTTTGAGGTTCATCATTACAGGTAATAAAGGTGGAGAGGTGGGGGAAGAGGGTAAGACAATGGGTGACAAAAAAAGAGTAGGAACAACAAGGAATGTATAGGAGATAACATCACGGGACTGCGGTGAAGAAAGAATAGAATAGCCGCCAAAATGGGGAATAACTAAAGAAGAGCTTTGTTGACCTTTCAGTTAACTCTGATGTTTAAACTCTTGTTCCTTTTAAGTACTTTTTGTTGCCGGTTCCTTCCTATTTCAGGGCTCCTTTCTTTCCTTTCCTTCTTCTTTTTCATCTTGTATTTTTGGTTAGTGGAGCATTATTATGACACATGTGCCTGAAACCCTGGCAAGCCCCAGGGGACTGCTTAGTGCTGCAGAGAAGAGTAGACTCGTCATACAACCTTTATGGTTTTGAGGGAAAAGATAATGAAACTTGGAAAATTAACTGCTTACCTAAATATGGCTGTGGTATATCTCACAGCATCAGATGGAGCAGGAGAGTTTTGCCAAGACCTAGACGTCAAAGGACCAGAGCCAGCCACAGTTTAGGTAAAAGCTTGAGTTGTCTGTGGTATGAAATCTGTAATAAGGTTTCCGTCCTGAAAGATTCTGCTCAAGCAAGTGGAGATAAATTGGTGTACAGCTGAGTGATAAATAGCTTTTTCACTATTCCTGCCACAGAAGAAAGGCGTGGCAGGGAAGAAGATCATTTCACATTCACATAGTCAGCAACATTATCCATTACAAGGTAAAGGTCTTCAGCATGAGGCTTATCAAAGGTACTTAAATTTGATCAAAATTACCCCTGGTGCTGGTAATTTATTCATTCTTGAAAGCATCTTCTCCCATTTCCTTTAAAAGCCAGCAAGGAATTCTTTCTGAATTAGTCAAGCCCGAGAACTTATAGATCCATGGACGGGTATTAAGGAAAGACTACAATTGGAAAATATTTATGTTGGTGCAATGAGACAAACCTTTTGAAAACACTCTTCCAAGAACATCTGAGTTAGACAGTAAAACATGCTTAAGGCTTGGTGGCCTCCAAAATATTTCCAAGAAAAGTACTTTCTCTTAGAGAATTGAGAATGAAATGTCATTTTATCAAGGTTTGTATCAACACAAAACCCCACATCTTTAATGAATACTGGACAGGGTTTCACCCAGAGAAGGGCATGTGAAAGCAGGGCTGTGTTGTGGGTGGTTTTGGTTAGGTAGCAGAGGAAGGTCATGTGTGGAATTACCACGCTGATTCCTTTATGTCAGACCTCAGTCTAGAAGGCATTTATGAAGCTGTTTAATTTCCTTCCCCTCTGTTGAATGTGCTGGGAGATGATACACCAGCCAACAGCAATACTTGTGGTTCATTTTCAGAATTACAGAGATTGCATTTGAATATAGCAATAGGTGGAGAGAACAATTAGACTAGAAATAAGTGTAGAATTTAAATGAGAAGCATAAAAGTAAGGGGGAAAAAACTGAAGAAAATAATTCAAAATAAATCGGTCTTACAGCAGAAATGAATGATTGAGAAAGTTATTTGACTTTAATTTCTTGAGGTAAGTGTATTAAAATTTTTTTTAAATGAAGAGAGGGGGACTTAACTTTTCATCGACTGTGATTTCATTACACTAAACCTTTGTGCATTCTCATTTTTCAATGTCCCTTTCTTTTCACTCCACTTTAGACTGTGAAAAACCATAAGTAACCTTCTATCATAAAGTCAAATTGAAAATTCTTTCAGGCAGGAATTGTCTTTTAATGCATGGGTTTGCACTGATCAGAACAATGTAGTCTTGATTTTTGATTGGGGCCTCTGATAGAAATAACTGAATAATGAATGCATTTTTCCCCTGTGAATTGGTACTTCACCCAAAATCATCATTATTAGGTTCAAGGGCTGAGGGTTTGATGCATGAGCTTTGTACCCTCTCGTGTTATCGCAGACAGTTTTACATAGGCAGCGTAGCCGCTGAAAGGATGACCATGTTAACAGAAGATTTGCGCATGATGCTCTGAGCAGCCCGGTTTTGTCCTGGTCAATTTTACAAGTTTATGTATTTATGTTTATGTTTTACAATTTAATGAAATAATTTTTCCATAGTAACAATCAGCTGAGATATTTAACTTAAATCAAATCAGACCTGACTTAAAAGACACATGGATGCCCATGCATGAGTCAGGGACTCATTTCTGGACTAAGACAGCAAAAAAAAAGAAGCAAACCCCTGTAAGGTGGAATACTGCTTACAGGAGCTGTCCTGGCCAATACTATTGCATAACACATTCTTAAGATGTATTGGTCAAATTCTGCCGGTTCACATAGGGTAATAAAGTACTTCATAACTGAAAATAATTCCATCACTGGTGCACCTTAGTAAGGAATACGTTTTCAAGCCTTTACTCGCTAACCGAAAACATTCTTTAATAAATCTCTGCAGGGTTAGAATATACCAAATACCACCCTTGAAGATTTAGTAAATAATATTAACTGGAGTGTGCAACTGAAATTTTAAGTCTTCTTTTGCATTCAATTGCACAGAGCTTTCTTTATTAAAAGCAATTTTATTGTCAGTCGTTCATTCTCTTCTGGATGCACAAACTGTTGACATGAACTGTGGACTGTAAGCCCATCCTATCCTAAAATATCCTGTGTTGACTCATCAATCTCATGGAGGCTGTGACTCCGAAATGAACTGTTGCTTTATACGTTGGTGCCCGAAAAGTGTTTCACTGGTGATCAAAAAAGAACATAAGAGAGAGAATGGAAAAATTGCGCAGTCTGCTGCCCAAAAATATAATGACCAGAGCAAGCAGGGCTGTTTGGATTGTCTGCAGAACTTCAAAAAGTTTTTTTTTTTTCCTTTGGATGGTTGAAGTGCACACTTAAATATTACAACAGCAACAGAGATCATTTATATACAGCTCTCATTGCCTGGGTGGTTCTCTGGCTTTCATGTAGCTGTGCTGGGGATTTATGGACTGTAGCTCCTGCTGGGACAGAGCCAGAGTCGTTCAAGCACTGGAACTTTAATGGTTCACTCCACCTAAAGCTGTACCTAAAGCTTTTTTACTCTGTTTTTTTTTCCTCCCCGGTTGAGCTACATACTGTTTCTACAACAATATTTTTCATGCTCTTCCTATGAACATGGTACTGAAAATAATAATGGCTTTTTTCTTTATGAGATTTCTATAGTTATTTGTTCCTTTCTCTTGGAGTTGAGATTATTGTGCATTTCGAAAATTTGTTTCACTATCACATTTTATATGTTTTCTTTTTAACATGCCTGTGCGCTTCGTTATGTTCCTATAATACAGATAGGATACTAAGTCATGAAACGGACTAGCCTCTTAAGAATGAATCTTTGTATTCACAGACTGACAGCGTTTCTGTCTTAACAGTGAGAGTCAGGAACTTCCCTGCAATCCTGATTTGATGAAAGATGATATTTTGATTTTAAAAAGTAATTGAGAAATTGATACATCCAAGTTGTTGCACCCTTTGAGTTTAATTGTATCATGTTGCTTGAAAAATATATCTTACTGTCATAAAGCATTAGGTGGAGTGGAGGAATCGACGCTTCATTAATTTTTTACAGAATATTCTAGTCAACACCTTCACCTCCTGTAGCTCTTAGTTAAAAATCACATTTCTGAGAAGATTTGAAAAGCATCAGCTCAAGGAAAAAAATTTCCACAGTAATAAAGGGGATAAAATGCTGATGTAACACTGACTAAATGCAGACTTTTGTTAAATCAGTAGAAGAACTAAGTGAAATTACACACAGAATTAATTTGGTTCTGTAACACATGAGATTATTTCTCTGATAACCAAGGCTGTGCTACTTTAATCTCAAGTCTCTTCTTTTTTTAAGCTTCTATAGACAGCAGAAAAAGTCTAATTATTTTGAGAGAATTCATGGTTCAATAGAAAGTGTTTTTTCTCTTTTAGTGAATTCAGGGTAGAGAAGAGTCTTGTACAGATTTCAAATGCACTTTCTTAAAACTTTCTTGGTAAGGCCCCATGTGCCCATAGCTGTTCCACTTTACTCTTGCAATTTCTCTAAACTCTCTTACACAAGTCATATGAGGAAGCCATCTGAGATTATTACAGTGTGGGACATTGTTCAAACATATCCCATCACCCCATCAGCTCTGCACTGGAAATGTAAGTTCTGCTACAAAACGTAAATCTACGCAACACCAGCCATAACAAGCTGTTGAGAACTAACGCTACAGCAAGGTTTACAGCAGAGGAGTGGACCAGCATCACAGGTGTTGGGGCTGGCTTTAACACACTTCATTTACTCCTACATCTGCCATAATATTCCCAGACAAGACTAAAGAAACTCACATTTTGATTCAGTGTAATATCTACCCACTTAAACACATCCTTATCGACCTCACAAAAAAGCAAGCATGTTAATCAGGGCTCAGGGATAAAGCAGATTTTTTTTTTCATTTTCTTTATTGGGAAGTCTTTCTGGTATTTAGAAACATGCGAACTGTCCAATAGGATTTACTATTCCATCAATCAACTTCATAAAAGATTTATTTGACATTTTAAAAATTCAGAGAAGAAAAAGAAATAAGAACCAGAATCATAAAGCTTCTTTTACATTTCTGTTAACCTAAAGAGCCTTGTTTTTAAAATATTTCCTGCTCTGTAATGACCAGAGGCCTGGGCTTTGAACAAAGCTCCTACTGAAGATAAGTAAGAAAACCAGGAATTTCCTTTTTCAGTCCTTTTTCGTATTTCCTATGAAGTTTTATGATCAAGTTAGTAGATATTTAGAAAATTTTGAGGATACCTTGTCATCAAGGGAAATGAATCAATGAGTAATATACTGCAAAAAACATTCTCATTTGCCTTGAGGGGGTTTTGGAAAGGGCACATGCAGGACGGCACTTCCATTGCTGTCTGTTGTCTCCAACACCACAGGCATCAGTCCTTGCGCTCCTAAAAATGCTTCTACTCTGACATCTTTCTGGAGTAATGTTTTCTTAGATCACAGAAAATGTAAAATGAAAAGGGTGTTATTTAAATTAATTAATAAAAAAAGCTTTTCAAACAGAATGGAATAAATATTAGCTATAGTGAAGAGATCTGCTGCTTTGATTCTTGGTTTAATGTCTTGAAATAAATCCTTGTGTGGGGAGTGAATCTCCAGCTTTGGTAGTAATTATGAGAGAAGACTATCATACCAAAGCATATTAAAAGCATTACTAAAAAATCTTCAAACAGAAGGCTATTTCCTAGACATCATTAATAAACCAAGAATTCAGCATTAAAAAGAGATTCTAATATATAACAATGATGTAAGGATGAGAAGAGGACCAGTCATTAGGATTTATGTTGACACACACGAGTATGTCCATACAACACACACACACAGAAACGTGTCTCATATAAACATCCTGTCTCTTCATTTTCCACTTACCATACGGCCAGGACAATTAGATATTATATGTAGGTTTAAAGAAGCAATATAAGATACTCCCATGCACAGAAAATTATCCAAAGGGCATAATTTGAACTGCAATGCATAATGTCTAGTAACAGCAAAGAACAACTTGGAATAAATCGAAACCCCATTTAGTTCATGATCTAGAATTTGTTTCTGAATCCTTTTCACCTCGGGCAAACGGTTCAAACTTTTATAGGAAAAAAACTTCCAGGAGGTGAAAAAGGGAAAAAAAATCTTATGTCTTGTGTATGTTTCATTGCAGTTGGGACGGACCCTCCGAAGTCCTTTCATGAAGTTTGTGGCACATGCAGTTTCTTTCACAATCTTCCTTGGACTGTTAGTAGTGAATGCTTCAGATCGGTTTGAAGGAGTAAAAAATCTCCCCAACGAGACCATCACAGATCATCCCAAACAAATATTTAGAGTCAAAACAACTCAGTTCTCATGGACAGAATTGCTGATCATGAAGTGGGTATTGGGTAAGCAGAAACAAAATGTCTACAAGTCCTCTAGGGAAATTCAGCATGACTAGGAATAGCATGACAGAGACAAGACAAAGGAAAAAACAAACAAACAACCCCCCAAAAAACAAACAAACAAAACCAACAAAAAAAACTCACAGAAAAAAACACCACACCAAAACCAAAAAACCCCACCATGAGGCTAAATTAGAGGTCGATGGAAGAATTTTTATTAAAACAGGATCAAAGACGACTTTGATCTTGGTCACTGTTTTCGAAAATATTGAATGATGCTTAGCAAATTCTCACTTTCCTGATTTTCCACTTTCCATGGTGAGTGCTATAGATTTTGTCTGTTTGCCTCTGTCTGTTTAATCATTGCATCTTAAAGAAGGTAATATAGTCATAGCAACTTACAGCTTCACGACAGGACATTGCTCTATCTAAAGTGAGCAGAAAGTGTGTCCATTGGGAAGTGGGTGACCACCAGCCCTTTTTATTACCTTGCCATGAGATCCTATTACAATTCACTGAACCTCAGTTTCTTCATCTGCAAAACAGGTATATTTTTATTTACTTTTTTGTAATGCACTCTGAAATCTAGTGGTGAAAACTGCCATGTAAATATGAGTTGGATTGTATTAAATTCATATTATGAAATTGTTACTGGCGAAAGGACAGCACAGCAGTCAAATCTTTTAAAATAAATTAATTTACCCAACAATTATAAAATAAGGATTCGTGTGGATGAGCCCTTCAAGTGCAAAAGTATATCACAGGCACAAGTTAAACTTCCAGGGAGTTTTAGGCAAATTCAGATGTATTACTTTTCCTATAGGCATAATTTATTCCTGGCAGGTCAGCTACCTCGAACCACTAATCTAAACAAGCTCAGGAGGATTTATTGGGAAATTGAGCTTATCAACTCTGCAGAATCTTTGCCTACTTCTTCTGCATCTATTTTTACTCACCATCATGATTTTGATTCTTTTCTTGCAGCAAATAATTCCACTGTTGCATAAGTACTGATGGCATTAAACCCCGCTGAAAAATAGGATAGGGCTGCTCTATCTGATGACTTCCTGGCCACCATTTCTTTGTTCCCTCTCCCTGCGATAATCAGAATCCTGTACAGGATATTAGGCTAGAAAATACTGAATAGATGCCAGACTGGATAGAGTAAGTCTGTAAGATATATTTTTAAAATTATATTATATTAAAGCAGTTGGACAAGATGATTAGATTTTAGACTAGGTATTCTTTTCTTATAGGCAGTAGGTATCTGTCTGCCTGGTGAGTTCCTGAGAGCTGAAGAAGAAAACATTTCATTTAAAGCTAAGGTTTTCACTTTTCTGGGAGAAGAAAGGTGATTCATTGTACCGACTTCTGAATATAATGAGATTTTTTAATGACTGACTACATCAGCACTGCCAGTCTTCTCTGGCCATTTTACCTCTCTGCCTACATAAAGCTTCGAATAATGTTTCAGCAATCGTGAGGTGAAGGTTTGGTGCACGTGGCCTGCAGATGCCTGGCACAGGGGCTTGGGCACTTGCCGAGCTCTATATATAGCTCTATATATAAAGTTCAGTGACCCTGAACTTTAAGGACCGTGAAAGCACGAAGGGCGGCGAACTGCCCAGCCTTTTGGTGCAAAAATCTTATAGTTGTTACAAATATGTGTATGTAAGTAGAAATATAATTAAATAAAAGTAAATGCTGTAGATAAATATCACAGGTGAAGTTGCCACGACATGCTTTTCCAGAGAGGCAAATGTAAGTAGACAGTAAGTATATGTTAAAGTATTATAAATTTAACTCTTGTGTACTAAATATACACAGCTATATTTAATCCTACTTGGCAACGCCTGCAGTTGCTGTCTTCAGATTCAACAGTGTAGGTGTGTTACCTACATTTCAATTCATAGTACAATCAAAAAGTGTAATTTTATTTATTCTCAGGTTGTAAGTCCTTCCTTCTGTTTCTGTTCGTTCTTTTTTCTTCTTCATACTGTGGCAGCAATGATGAATGCTGATGACCCATTACTTGTTCCAACCATAGCAGACCATTTTTGAGAAATTAGTTTACAGGTCCCTGAACTTGGTTCTTTTTTGGGGAGAAAATTGGCTGTCTGAGATATCTGACTATCAACCATAAAATTGTGACGCATGTACAGAATAGCATTATTTGAGGATAATGTGCTACATTAGCATAGCACAGTGTGGCCATGAGTGAGCACACCCTGTGATAGCACTCCCTGCAATAATTTTGCTGGAGATACGAAAACTGACCCACGTGTATATCTTTTAAGAGAAAACTACCAGTAGGAGAATTTCAGACTGGAGTTATGGAAAAAGATACCATTGCCATCTCCCTCTCCCAACTATTTGTAATGCAGGCGAGTAACGGAGTAAACCAAGCAGAGGCAACGACTTTCAGCCTGGCAAACACTTCATCCTGCTCCAAAAATCCATATCAGAGGCTTTACTTTCCATTACCCTGCACCTCTGCAATGGCTGTAGAGCATCGCTCTATCAGCCAGGTAGTGTTAGTAGCCCATTTAACATCCCCATGAACAGCCAGATCGCATTTCAAGTGGGAGAACGCCTTTTTGGTCTCACTCCTCTTTGTTATCAATGAGCATCCAAGGGCTGAAGATGATAAACCTGTCAGGGCAGAGAAATACCACAACGCTCTGAAAGGAGAACGTGCCCCTTCGTACACGGGGCACGGCAGTTTCCACTCATGCATCTGTGGCTCATTGTATGCCTTGGCTACCCCTGCCCCCGTGGCTGAACCTTCCCACTTCTTGCCTTCAAGTGGGGAAGGCTGGGATTTCCTTCGTGAGCAGTACGGGCACAAGTGCATACTGGGAGCAGGGAGGTTTCGTTCAGAGGGACAAAATCCTCGCTGCAAAAGCAGCCAAGGCAGCAGTTAAGCTCGGGGTAGACGCAATCTGAGCACGACTCGCTCTCTTAATCCAACAGACTTTGGCGCATCCAGGAAGGCTCAAAAGCATCTCTCCAACATCAGCTGCTCATGATTTATGTACCAGGCCAGTGGATATAAAAATCTGACAAACTGTTCCTTTTTGTGCACGGGTGGTGAACAGCACTTCTTGCACACTTCTATTTTTCTTCTTTGTGTGCCTGTAGCTTGACTCTCCTTCCCCTGCTGAAAGCAGAAATGCCTGTCAAGGTGACATTTCTGATTACCCCTGCTGTGGGAGAACAGGCACAGGAGACCTGCAGAAGCTGCTCATATCCCTCCTCTCTGTGCGTCAAGCTCAGGGAAACAACCTCTCCAGAGCCATCAGGGGCCTCAGAAACACCGCTTTGAAATGTAATCACGTCCTGGCAAATCTGCTCTACCCTAGTCGCCTTCCCTTCTGTTCTTCCATCCCATCTTGCATCCCATCCCCTGAATTTTAGCTGCTTTTTCTCTTCTCAGTATTTTTACTTAAAGAGATGCTTTGAATTACTCTCTCACGATGTATATAAAAGTACTCAGCAGTACTGACCAAATAATTACTGTAACTTTTCTACTTGTGCTGAATAGATGTATTTCCATATGTGTGGCTAAAAAATGATTGCCACACAGTTGACAAAAAGAATTATGTAAATTATAGGCCAATAGTGTGATACTTTCACAGATTCATTCTAATTTTAGTCAGTCTTCTCAGTTTTAGACATTCTTTACTTCATTCATCTGCGACTTAAGTATATTAAGTGACCAAGATTAGAAATAAATTTGGATGGAAGAGTTAATATTTAAACCAGAAAAGACATTTCTGGGCATCAGTGAACAAGTACTCTGGTCGGCAATGTTCCCACGCATGCGATATTTCCTGAAGTGCTTTAGTACCTTTATACAACTTGCATGCACGAGGCATAGGGCTATCTCCTATCTATCACTTCTGGGATACTTTCTTTTTTAGCTAGAAATGTTTCTAAATATTTCATTCTCACTCCAGGACAGTTCCTGAGAAACCAATTCTTCCACCTTCTCCCTTACGCTATTTATTATTAAATCTTACTTGTTGTGAATGACGGCTTGGGATGAAGTTCCTGCTTTTACTTAGCCGAGCACCTGAGGACTGGAGAAGAGCTGGGAGGCTCCTCTCCTGCCTGTCCTCTGGCTCTGCTCAGCACTCAGCAGACCTCAGGCTCTCTCCCAAGACAGATCTATATGGGGCATAACCTATATCAGGGTACAGCTCCAAGGACCTGCCTGGATATTCCAGGACTATGGAGGTCACAGGCTAGCGGTGCCTTGGCCACCAGTGGTATCAATAGCTTAGCTTTCCTTTTTCTCTCAAAACTTTCCCCGTGCACAAGGACCGACAACGGCAGTTCTTCATTCCTCCAGCCTCCAGCTAGATTCACACTGACTTGTGTTTCCTTCCCTATAACCAAGCGTTCAGCCGTGCCTCTTGGGACACCATGCACTTCCAGGAGTCTCTGAAGTAGCCAAGCAAATGTATTCACATGCCACACCACGAGAGCTTCCAGCAAAGAGGATGGAAGAAGAGTTCACAAAAAGAACAAGGTTGCAGGAGGCCACATGGAAACTGGCAGGCATTCCTCCTGCTTGATTAAATGTGGATTTTGCTGCTGCTATGGAAACAGGATTGGATAGAGTGCAGGAAATATTTATCAGTGGGTTAAATATTCCAATATTTTAGCTATTCAGAAGAGAGATTTTGGCCCTGGAGCCCTGCTGCGATTGCAAGTTGGGCAAGTTGGTAAGTTTGACCTGAGATCTTGGCTCCCGTTTGCCCGCTGAATTCACCTGTCCTCCCCAGTACTCCCCAGTAGAACATGGATGTCAAAACGTTTGAGTTTTTGGGTTTGGCATTCAGGTTTATTTTTAAGTCTATTGTCAGAAAAGTCCCAAATTCATGCTAAACTCAGTGTTTTCAAAGTGGTAGATCAGACTTTAATGTATGGAATTAACAACTCATTAATATGAAAAGCACTGCAAGGGCAGAACTTCTGTCTTACCTTTTCTCTAATCATACTGTATTTACTCCTGGATCAGATTTTCTCTCACAAAGATCTCTTTCCATTCTCAAGATGGACCTACCCACTGTTTTAGGGAAGGAAGAATACGTCAGCAGAGCAAGCAATACCATATTCAGTGACACAGTTTAGCAGAGATTTTGGGGACAAGAGAGGAAATGTCAATTTTTTCCAAATACATCACTAGTAGGATTTGCTAATGTCTTCAGTATTCCTGAACTGTGTTTTCTCTGACATCACCAGAAATCTATGTTACCGTTGACTCTTAAGTGAAATTTTGAAGTTTCTACCTCATATGCACAAAAGGACATCCAAGCTTAAAGTTTTTAATAATTTTTTAGAAAAGATGACACAAAAAATTCTCAAGAAAATTAGTTTAATTGAAAAGTTATTTCCTTTGGTCTTAGGAGCCACTGTTGGCCAGGAAATGGGTCTGTCTGGACCTTCTGTGTTTGCTGGTAAAACGTGCTTTGGCCTTTCCGCAGGCATGATATGGTCAGAGTGCAAGGAGATCTGGGAAGAGGGCCCACGCGAATACGTGGTACACCTCTGGAACCTGCTGGACTTTGGGATGCTGTCCATCTTTGTGGCATCGTTCACCGCCAGGTTCATGGCTTTTCTCAAAGCAACTGAAGCACAACAGTACGTAGATCAGTACGTTCAAGATGATGACCTCAATAATGTCACCCTTCCCCCTGAAGTTGCTTACTTTACTTATGGTAAGATGCTTTCTGCTATCTAATGCTTCCTATTCTTCTAGGCTAACACGTGGCAGTGCTGAAAGCAGCTTTCTTTTTGCCATATTTATGTATTTTTTTTCTAATTCAACCGAATTATTCTTCTCAGAGCTACCCATTCCAGCCATCTTCCTAAACAGTCAGAAAGCGATTGAGATCTGAGCCTCATTCGATCTCTGATCTTGTGCTAAGGCTACGCTGAGGTCAATCACATCCTGACAAAATGGCTTGAGCAACAAACAATCAGGAACTGGGAGCGAGTAGAATATAATTTAAATTACAGAGGAATGAACCTGTTTGGTTTTCCAAATGTGAAAGGGGGGAGATGTGTGAACAAACATAGGATCTGGAGCTGCATTTCTAACTGTTGGTGCACTCTGCACCACTGTTACATCCAACAGTTGTACGAATTATTGAAATAAAAAAACAAATTACACCCATAAGCTGCTGCTCCTCCAAGAGGAAGATCTTTATTTTGGAGAGCCTATACCATCTCTAAGTGCTAACATTTGGAAATGCAAGCAGTAGCACAGCCTTGATAACATTATTTTTGATGGCTGAAATGGTTTTTCTTTGATATTCACAAATGAATAGAGCTTTCCACCCCAGTGTGGGGCTGGGTTCACTGCATGCCTCTGCAAGCTCTAGATGTAACCCCAAGCAAAATACATGAGGAATTTTGCTCACAGAGGGGCTGCAGGAGCTAGAGAGCTGGGCACAAAGGAGGCCCTTTTTCTCCCTAGGGTTGTAAGGTAGTTATTCTAGAGATGTGCTTGGGCTGGAGAGGAAGATCTGGGACAGGAAACTTCATCCACTGTAGACATGCACCGTGTGGCACCAGAGACATGTGCCCTGAGCCCACACCAGGGTGTACAGCCACAGGCTCGCTGGTGGTTCCGTGAGCTGGCCACACCAGGGCTCAGCCTTTTGCTTGGTGTGTCCCCTCAGAAGGTAAGCTTCCCTCTCCCTGCCCAGGCAAGCAAGAGGTCTCTGAGATAATGCTATGGTCTTCCTCTCTCTGGTTTGCCACCAACACATTTAAAGTGAGTTCATGATACAAAGGTGCAAAGGGTCTGGAACAGAATGTCCCAACCAGATCCTGGGAATTCCTCCATCTGCTGCTTTTTGTTTGCTTCACATTACCGAAAATAATGCCTAGGTTTACTGCTGTGTCCTTAAAGATGTCACATGTTTTAGCTCTGAGTCGCAATCTTTTCATTAAGAAGCTCAGTTGATGCAAGGACACTTATAAAGCTGTATTAATAGAAATGTTCAAATTTTCAGTAGATTAAATAAATGATGCATATCTGGTATCAACAAGAAGCTTTTCAAAGTGAAAATATGAGAGTGACTAGACGGCAAGAATTGGTTTTAATTTAAAGATAACATGAAAATGACACACAATGATATCTACTTTAGCCAAACAAATCCTAACTTTCCTATTTAATGGTACGGATAGAGATCTCAATCTCCCTAATGCTTCCTTTCCAAATATTGACACAGTGTCTTGTATCCAAATCTATAGCCAAGCTCCACTGTGTTGTGGTTTTGGTTCTCCATCTCAAGAGCTTCAGATAGAAAAGGCACAGCACAGTTGATGTTCAACTAGGAAACAAAAAATATCAAATTTGTTTAAAGCCATGCTATTTATTTGCTGTGTGACTTTGGTAAATCCCAATGACTTGCTCATTTCTCATCTTTACCATGTGAAAAATATAACTGATTCTTCTCACCCATATGTGTAGAGCATACTGAGGACTTCAGTGACCAGTTATTCCAAACTTTTTTTTTTTTTCTTTAACTCCTGGCCAAAACCAAGATTCAGTCTTGAAAAAGGGTCATTTATCATCATAACTTCCATCTAACACTTTTTGTTACTAATACCTAATGTACGTGTATTGTTTTAGCCAGGAACAAGTGGCTTCCCTCGGATCCTCAGATCATTTCAGAAGGACTGTATGCAATAGCTGTGGTACTCAGCTTCTCCCGCATTGCTTACATTCTTCCAGCCAACGAAAGCTTCGGCCCCCTGCAGATCTCTTTGGGGAGGACTGTGAAGGATATCTTTAAGTTCATGGTCATCTTCATCATGGTGTTCCTGGCCTTCATGATTGGAATGTTCAACCTTTACTCTTACTACCTTGGTGCAAAATACAACCCTGCTTTTACAACGTGAGTACCTATGGAAGAGTGGCTGCTCTTGCAGGGCTCAATCCATTCTGGTCCATTGGTACTGCAAGGTCTGCTCAGATAGTTTCTACTCCAGCTACGTGGGGAAGTCACACCCAGAATTTGCCAAGGAAACTTGTACTACAGCCTCCAGACCCGACAGCCAGCTCAAGGCCTGAGTGCAGGGAGATGTATAGTTCAGAAATTGCTATTTCTGGAAATCAAAATAACAGATCAGGAAAATGTTTTGTGAAATGTTCAGTTTAATGAGTCAAGAGAAGCAGTGGAGAAAAGGTTAGACCTAAGATTATTGTTCTTAAAACTGCAAGCCAAAATGTGTGTAAAATAAGGGAGGATTTTGCTTGCGTGAGGTCTGGTTTAGGATACCACCTGAGCGCAGCTGTGATTATTAGGCGCACGTCTGCAGAGCCAGCTGCTAGCTGCCATGCTGAAAAAAGCAAAACCAACCAGGATGCCTTGGCTGTGTCTTTTAAATCCTGAATGGGAACTTTTCAGCAGAGGCCGTGTGAAAGCTGCACAGAACATCATGCCAGGTCACTGGCCACGCAGGGCAGAGGGTCTGCCTGGGTCACGCTCACCTACCAGCATCACTGGGTGGCCGCACAGCCCTGCGTAGGTGGCTGTGCCAGAGGCCATCTCCACCTTGTCAGGGATGTCAGGACGAGAAAGAGGTTGGCAAATGCTTCTGGAATGAGATTCCGACTGAGGCTGCTTTTGAAAAGGGAAAGCCTACAGCCCTTCAGAGGTAAGACAAAATGCAGTCTTGATTCTCCAGGACCCTGGGAAGCCAAACCCCAACCCTGTGGGGGACAGTTGAGGTCCTGAAGGAGCTTTCAGAGGGGGACACAGCCTGGTACTCTGCCGTGTCTGAGGGATGTGTCCCATGCATCCGCAGGAAAGCCACCTCCCTTGCACTGCAGTGTGGCACCAGCATATCACCGTGGCAGTCAGCTTTGTGTCTCACAAAACCACCATGACTTGCCTTAGGGACATGGTGAGGACTTTCCTTCCCACACACCTGTCTGTGAGGGAAGAGAAAAGCTCGGCATAATATTTTCCCCCTGCTTTGATCTGACTTCCAGGCAGCCACGCCACGCTTCTAGTGCCTGAACCCACGGCATTTACTAGATGCAGCGCAAACAGCAGCTGGCATTTGATGTGTCATTTCTCTAACATGTCACACAGCAAGCTGAGGGCTTAGTTCATAGCTCCTCTAGGAGAAATGACCTTTTCAGCATCATTTCTGTCCTGCAAGTGGCTGTTTCCTTCCAAATACACCGGAGCCAGTTTTACCACACCACCCTGTTATGCAACATGCACCTTGCAACATAATGTTTGCTTTTTCTAATTGAGCCAAACATGCCTTCTAGACCTCTCCTGTAACCTCAGGATACATTTTAATGGAAGGATTTATGAAGCCAAATGCAATTACATTTATTCGTGCTCCTTAGAAAGGTAGAAGAAAATTGAGTGTGTGGTATGTGACTTGCTTCTTGTTTGGAGAGGAAATGCCCTTGAAGCACAGGAGTTAATGAGAAGTTGAGTCGATAACTGTCCTTGACTGCCTGGTGGCACAGTAACCCTCAGTTCTGGTATCCCCAGGCGTTGCTAACAAATTCCAGTCTCTGATGCAATGACTCTCTCATCAGCACTCGTTACCTAAGTGCATCTTCCAGTAGTTACTATCTTTTGATGGAAATAATGAGCAAACATTGACTAAAATGATAACTGCTCACTGGAGAAAGATTGCTTAAATGCCCAAGGGATGTTTGGATTGGGGAGAGTCTTGTCAAAAGGCAGTGCTCTTCCTCCTTAACTTCAGCCTGGTAACTTCTTACCCTGGAGGGACTTCATGTTGTTATGAAGCCAATTTTCCATGAGCATAAATTTTCCTTCTAAGAATTTGGAAGAGATTTAAAATAGACTTACTTTCTTCTGATTATTTAAACACACGGGAGTGTCAAATGATGATCAGTGAAAATGAGCCCTTTCATCATATGAAACAAAGAGAATAGATTAACATTCATCCTGAAAATCCTTCTCATTCAACAAGCTAGAAACCCTGAGGCATACAGACTCAAACAATTCTAAACAGCTAATGACAAGGTTATATTGGCAGATGGGCAGCTACCAATTCTAGCGACATTTCCTTCTCTAGTTTTTGTGAGCTGCCTGTGGGCCTTGCTGAACATGGCAGGCTCCTGCTGCAATTAATTTCTTCATGAAATAGAAGGAAGATTTCAGTATTAGAGCTGAATAAGTAACTCAACTGTTGTGAAAATTCACTGGAGCAAAGAAGAATAATGCTTACTTTGGTGTCCTCATAACCTTCTGTGACTTCACTGAATGCATTTTGTGGCAGGCATGTTTATGACTTGGGTGAGGTGGGGCGAAATGAGGGTGGGTGAAATTTTTCAGAAAGCAATTTTATACTCAAAAATATGCCCATTCAACTATGGGACCTGATTCTCAGCGGTCACTTGGCTAGTCATGACAGAAAAAGACCCATTGGATTTGTGCGCTTATTGATTGCGGCCAGTTTCAAAGGGCATTGAACTGACAGCTCACTGGATAGCCTCAGGGGGAAACCTCACAGACAAAGAGCTACTCGTTGAAATAACTTTGAATGACACACTTAAGAAAACCACAGCTTCCCAGGACAGAAAAGAGTGTACAGTTGTCCAAATAACACTCAGAGGGAATTGCTTGCTTAGTTCTAGTGATAACAATCAGTGAATGTTTGGTATAACTTAACTTTCATTTTCCCTTGCTATTGCACTTTTGAAATCATGTGCTCGGTTTTGGTTGTGTTGCCATCTACAGAGCAAGCACGTAGCACCCCAGTGGCCTCTGAACTGAGTTATCATGCAAAGTTTCTGTCATTTCTTCCATTTTAATTTTCTTGATGCAAAAGAAATAAAGGTGCAGTAGACTTCACTTCATACTGTTAAATACAGAGATTATTTATCTAACCATGGAATCCTTTCAAAATTTTTCTGAAGTACTTCAATGCTGAAAAATAGACCATTTTCATGACTGTTCCAACTGACCCCAACTATGTTTATCTGTTTATTGTATGCTGTGTACAGAACACAGCTCTCAAAAGAGCCTGTAATTAAGAACGAGCTATGCAAACAAAATTGAAACGGAGGCAAGACTGATTGTGTTCATCCTGCTTTCCACATCACAAATCAGGCTGAAGGCTACAAGCGAGGTTTTCTGTCTCCTTCTCCCCAAAGGGAGATGTGACTCACTGTTCAGTGCCAATGTTACTTCGAGGCTTGAAGGCTTTTTTTCTTCTCATTTTACTTTGTCAAAATGTGATATTTTTGTAGATTGTATTGACTGCATTGCTTTTTTGGCAGTTAAACCTCAACCGATCAATTTAAGGAAATAAATCAGTCTGAAAGGATGCCTTAAGCTTTCTTAAAGAGGAGGACACAAGGCTGACATGAAATCATAGCCTTGCTATGATGTTTTTTGATGAACAGCACACTGCTGTTTACAGATACAAGGAAAATCTGCAACTACATGATTGCCTATGGTCTATTTTCTTCCTTGATGCAAAATCTTTATTTAACTTTCACAGGACTATGTATATTGAAACAAAAAAATCTCTCTGCTCTCTTCTCTACTCTACCACGGTAGAGAGAGAGTGTGGAGTACTCGTCTCCACAGGGAGCATCAGTCAATCTGCCAACAGCCAGATCCTCCTGCTGCCAGGAGCTGTCAGTCTGGGCAGGACTCCTGACTTCCTCCATTCCTTCATTTATCTGCCTTTGAGAAGGATAAAACTCCTGCTGACCTTGCAGGAAGGGGGTAAATTGCTTAGCTGGCAAGAATGAGACACATCAGCATCTTGGAATCTTTGAGAACTTGGCCTCAGACATCCTTGTCTTGTGTTTTAGTGAGATATTCTCAAAAAAAAAAAAAGCCGAGCTGATGTTCCCTGTGACCTGTGCCAAATCTCTGGGAAAGAGAAAGAGCCATCCAGCCTTTTTGGAGCGGGGGCTGGACTAGTACAAGGTCTCCTTGGAAATGTTTCCTCTATAAGAGGGAGACCTGCATCTGCCTGGGGGCATTGCTAAGCACTGTTTTGGGGTGCTACAGGTCAGCTCCACTTCTCACACCGCCGTCCCTGTCCCATCACCATTGGCACTGATCCTTCGCCTGGCACCGGGAGGAAGGACTACCCGAGCCCCGTGCCCTGTCCCTTGCCTGCCTGCTCCGGGCGGCCAGGGCCCCTCACACTCCGTAATTAACTTTTCAAGCAGAATCTGGCACGTCTCCAGAACAAAGGTTAATGCTTAAGCTGTGGAATAGAAGCAGAGTTGACACATTGTATTAAAATCTGCCAGCAGGATGGAAAACTGAGGGAACCTTTCCCAATTAAAAAGGGAAGGTTAATAGCAGGGTGCAGCTGGGATGGAGGCTGGGGGTTATGGTTTCTATCAGTTTGATAAGTGACTTAGGTGGTGGGTTTCAAAGCCAAAGATTTCTGGTGTTATACGTATTCTTTGGCTGGAAAGCACAACATTTAATAGAATAAGCACTGGCCAGATGGCTACCATGAAAGTGAAGCGTATATCTGATGCGTTACCGCCAGCTGCCCTTTGCTGCGGGTGAGGACGTGAGACAAGAGCGAAGCGTTACAGGAGGGGAAATGTCCAGCAAGTGGAAAAGTGGTGGCATTTGTCTGCAGGACAGTCATAGCTCATCCCACAAGCGTGTCTTTGCCTCAGGCAAAGCAGCAAGGGGGAGCGAACATGGTACCAGCGACTCTGGGTGTCACGGAGGCTTGATGGAAAGCCACATTTTAAATGAAGTTGGGCAACACCTACTTGAAACACCACTTAGGTTACTCCCCACAGGTCACTGCAGTTACGCTGGCCGAGTATGATACCTAAATAGTTACTGCAGTCTACTATTACTTGTAAATGTAATATGGAATGCCGTAAGTTATGTTGGGAGAGAAATACCAGTTTGCTGTGGCAGAAAGGGATTGCCCACAGCTCTGTACTAGCCTTTCAAAGGGTTGAAATTAATTTCTCTTGCTTTTATACACGGCGTAATTGATACTGGAGTTGATGTAAAGCTTATTGTTCCCTTGGGATATGTCATACTTTGTGCCTATAATCTGTTTTTATAAACAGATTTAGTAGGATTAAGCTGCCACCCTGGTAAAAAAAAATTCATCAAAATAGTTTGCCAATGGCCTTGTTTTCTTCAAGGTGTTTACCTCCTACAGGCAGGGGCAGAGGGGACGTAATCCTCTGTTAACACGCTAAGGACTGTTCAGTGAAGGCAAAATTGCTTCTAAATTAAAAATTAAGCAAACTGCTAAAAAATTTAGTACCAGCGTCCCTCCTCCTCCTTCCTTCCTTCCTTTTCAGCTGGGGCTGCTTCCCTTCTGCCGGTTATGGCTTTGATTCCTCTGCATCAGACTCTCCTTTTGACCTGTCAGTCCAGCCACATCCTTTCCAGCCCAACTTCTTTTCATCAACGAATAATTCCCCTCTTTTTTTCCTTATCTTTCAACCTTTTTATTTTCCTCTGGTTTCTTTCTACTTTCAAGCAAGGATAACAATCGTATTACAATGCCTCTCTGCAACATCTTTTACCACTCCTTACTTTCAAATTTTTGCTAGAAATGCTTGAGTGCCTGATTTGTTTGCAGTCCCAAAGCAGGATGGGAAGAACATCAGACTATGGTCTGGCTATATTTGCACTCTGTGTTCTTCATATCAATGCCACAAATCAGAACTTTTCCTCAGTAAAAAGTAATGCTTGTCTTCTGCCCTGGAAACCACATAAAAGAAGGTCAAGCTTCTTCCCTTTCCCAGATAATCTCTGCCTGCCTTCTCTGGATGAGAAAAGGGTGAGCAAGTAGAAGTAAAAAGCCCTACATAGAAAGTTTCAAAGTACAATTTGCCCATGGAGAAGTCCTTAATAGGGACACAAAATCCAAGTGACAAATAATACACCTGAGAAGAACAGATAGAGCAAATATCTGCACTGTAACTTTATAGTATTAACCAGTAGTCATATTTTTTTATCATATCCGGAAAGGAATCCGGAAATAGGATTTGGCACATCCCTGGGTGATGGATAATGGTTTGCAAAGCCTGCGCCAAGGCACCATATTTGTATTGGTGGATTGCCACTTTTATTACTAACATTTGACCTGGCTAATCTGATGTCAACTCTATAAGGTGATTGTTTGTTTTATTTTTAGGGTAGAAGAAAGTTTTAAAACCTTATTCTGGTCAATATTTGGCTTATCTGAAGTGATATCTGTGGTGCTCAAGTACGATCACAAATTCATTGAGAATATTGGATATGTACTCTATGGAGTATATAACGTGACTATGGTGGTGGTGCTGCTTAATATGCTAATAGCCATGATCAACAACTCCTATCAGGAAATTGAGGTAAGATAAGACATTAGATTACAAACTCAATGTACTTAATTATCACTGACAATGACTGGTAAAAAAACCAAGGAAGATGTAGCTTGTTCCATATGCAATATTAATGCTGTTGAAATACATATCTTACACTGGGTAAGAGTTAAAGCTGTGTCTATCCTCAAATTCCGATTGGATTAATAATTAAAATGAATCATTTCTAGAACAACTTCAACTTCCTTGTTTTTAATGACCATCTGTGAATAAAGCAAATTTCCTTTACATGTATTTAATGTCAGCGGTTTGTGATATTTTTGCTCCTTGTGTCAGTTATGATAATTTATCCATGTGTGTTACTTTAGCTGTGTTGTTCACTTATAACAGACTGAGTAATATTTCTTCTGGCTTTTTGCCCTGTTTTTTACTGGTTAAACGCCCAAGCCCATCTACACCTGAAACTCATGTATGCATATTTAAGGATTTCGTATTTTCCAACTACCAGGTATACAACCTTGCTATAGATTTTTTTAAGGAGTGTCTAGGTCTGCAAAACATAACTGCATGAACATTCACAAAAAGCAACTTTTAAAGGATATGAACACAGCCCTCAAGGGAAACAAATACATTTCTGCAGAAAGGCATTTGCAGGGCTTACCAACCTTGTTCAGTAATATTGCTATTAGCAGACCGGATCTGTTAAATGCTTTGGACATAAACAACTCCCTGCTAATGTAAATAAAGGCAGAAAAAACCCAAATATTTAGATGTTAATGCTGAGTCACCTCTTTCTTTTGATTTGTGAAATGTCAAGTTTCTGTAGTGGGGTTTATATTATTTGTTCTAGTTTCCCCTCATAACCTGACACTGCAAGAGGCCAGAATTGAAAATATCTTCTCACTGTAATGTCTGATTCATCCATGTACCGTAGTGCAAATATAACGTTATCTTGTGTGTGTGTAGCTGAGTCTAAATATCAGAGAGACCTTACATATGTTCTCTGCCCCAGAAGCTTTCCAGCATGCAGAAGGCAATCATTTCCCCAAAGGTTTCTACTCACTTAATATCAAGCCGCTTCCTGAATCCTCTTCTACTGAAACAAGATTTATGTCTGAAGGGGTCTTAGCCTCTTACTGCATTTTCTAGTTTATTGTAGTAGGTAGAGATGCTCTTGAAAGTTTCTCACAAAAAATCTCTAAAAATATCTGAATAGATGGTCTATATTAACTTTCTAGTCTAAACTTTGTGATGACCATTTTCCTGGAAAAATGCTTTATAATCCTTCTTGACTGCATGGAAGTTTTCAAATCTTTGTTAAAGGCTATCTGTAACTATCAGCAAGCAAAGTAAGTGTGAGCAATTTGGCCCAGATCCTCCTGCTTGAGGACTGGGAAAAACTAGTAAATCTCATGCGAATTCCTTTCAATCCTCAGTAGGGAGATGAAAGACAGGGTCATCCTACTGACTGCAGAGTGTAGTTGCAAAGTTTTGCCAATGCATTTATCTGATGACAGCAATGTCAATAACGACAGAGGATGGTCATTACTTAGAAATTAAATTCCATTACGGTCAGTGGGGACATACTTTACTGTTAGCTGGAGTGACAAGACGATATTCTCATGCTCTTCATTGAACATCTCTCTTCAGCTGCTTCTGGTTTTTTTCTGTTTATGCCTCAAATATTAGTGCTTCCAGCCAACTTTGCGTTTATGGAAAGAAAAAATCGTTTTGCCAGTCAGAAGTCAGAACTACTTCCATCAGTAGCTTCTTAAGTGCTTAACAGAAAAGCATCAAAACCATTCACAACTGATTTCTACTGTAATTCAGCTTAAGCCTTCTGTGAGGTGCAACCCCAAACAATGAGAAAACCAAACTGCAGAAGCGACTGCCGCTCCATTGGCAAAGACATATCGCTGTAACTGTGGCAAATTTAATCTCAGTTGTGTTATGCCAGTGTTTGACTGGGTTTCAGAGGTACAGAGTAATCATAGGTTACTGATTTCAGCAGAACACAGATGTACATGAGTGCAGGGTGTTGGCAGACCCACACTTCTATTGATGCTGCTGGCTTCCATATAGACCACAATGAAAACAGCTGTAGAGCAGCTGTCTCTCATCTTTTCTTTTGCCTGATACATGGCCCTGACTATCCTCCTCCTATACAAATGCCAAGCAGATCCATAAAGCATGTGCTGACTTTGCCCTTGTACTTGGAAGTGATCCTGGCCCACCTTGATAGTTCATAAAGGAGATTCACAGGCACTGCGTGACAGACTTTTTCTCCACCTTCATCAGTGGCCAGAGGTGAAGAGTAATAGAATTAAGGTGTATTGATCTAGGGATATGTGATGGTGAATGCAAAGAGGATCCACGAGGAAATCAGCTAGTGATAGAAGAAATCCGCAACCCAGCCTCTTCTACGGGGGATTCCTGGCCAATGCAGAGATAACAGTTAGCTGGCAGTTAGATAGTGTCGCAGGTAATCAGAGACAGTCTTTGTTGCTGTTGTTGTTGTTGTGCACATAACAATTTCTTCTGCTTTACATGACTCCATATATATTCTGATATATTCATTTATCAGCATAGCACAAGCACCAAACTGTTACTGAAAGACAACCCCTTTGATAGCCAAGAAAATAGGAAACAGTCTAGTATTTGGAGGGCTTATGGTTCCTGTTTATCCATCGCTTTGTCCAAATTTTCCTTATTTTGAGATCACCACAGAGAAGCCTGCAAAGATACTTCATGTGCAGGGGTCTTGGTTTGACAAAGAAACCCAATTCTAATTAAATCCTACCCGTACATTTGTCGTTGTCATAGCTAAATTCCTTCCTACTTACTAATTATGTGTTTGGGTGTTGTGTTTTTTTCTCTCTTCCCTTCCCAAGGAGGACGCAGATGTGGAGTGGAAGTTTGCACGTGCTAAGCTCTGGCTATCCTACTTTGATGAAGGACGGACTTTACCTGCTCCTTTTAATCTAGTGCCAAGCCCTAAATCATTTTATTATCTCATACTGAGAATAAAAATGTGCCTCATAAAACTCTGCAAATCTAAGGCCAAAAACTGTGAAAATGATCTTGAGATGGGGATGTTGAATTCCAAACAACGGGTATGTTGTATCTTCACTTTTCACCTTCTTTGTAGAAAGGATTCATGCCATGGACCTTCTGGAGGGGGCTGCATGGCACACAGGTAGATGAGGGACAGCACAGCCTCTTACTTAGCCTCATCATTCCATGTTAGTTGTATTACATTGCACCTGGAGGGTCCTCCCAGACTTGTGGCCTCATTATACTAGGCCCTGTCTGGAC